AAGGCAAAGGGAGAGGGAGAAGCAGGCTACCCGCTCAACAGGGAGCAAGATGCGGGGCTCGATCCCAGGACCCCGGACCATGACCTGAGCCGAAGGCAGACGCTGAACCGTCTGAGCCACCCAGGCGCCCCTAGACCTTCATTTCTAAATATCATTTTCCACCTAAAGGAACCAGGGCTCCATGGAAAAATGATTGGTTAGGGCTGGGACTGGGAAAGTACAAGATGAGCCTGGAATATCTTGCTGGATAATGCTCAAAGAATGACACGAACATGTCCAAAGGACACAGGAGTCAGCCAGCCTGACACTTATCCTAATGGCCAAAACTAGGACAATGCAAGCATCAAAATTATAACTATAACAACAACAAAAAAGAATTGTAACTCACTGAACAAAATAAGAATTCATGAATCCACACTAATATAAATAACAGAGAGCGGAGAGCTCCTCCTTTCAGTAAAATGTAGAGGAGTAATAGAAGAACCACCATTTGGCAACCACAACAGTAATTACTTGTTTCAGGAAGGACTCCTCAGTGGATGCTAAAGCTAGTGGGTAAAAGTTTGATGAGAAAAAGGTGATTTACAAAGTCTTAAAATATCCCCTAATAGAACCCTCCTACACTGTTGGTGGGAATGCAAGCTGGTGCAGCCACTCTGGAAAATAGTATGGAGGTTCCTCAAAAAGGTGAAAATAGAGCTACCCTATGACCCAGCAATTGCACTACTGGGTATTTACCCGAAAAATACAAAAATATATATATATATACCATGGAGTATTATGCAGCCATCAAAAAAAGAAATCTTGCCATTTGCCACAATCTGGATGGAACTAGAGGGTATTATGCTAAGCAAAAGAAGTCAATCAGAGAATGACAATTATCATATGATCTCACTCCTATGTGGAAGTTAATAAACAAAACAGAGAATCATAGGGGAAGAGAGGAAAAAATAAAACAAGACAAAACCAGAGAGGAAGACAAACCATAAGAGACTCTTAATCATAGGAAACAAACTGAGGGTTGCTGGGGGTGGAGGGGGAAATGGGGTAACTGGGTGATGAACATTAAGGAGGGCATGTGATATAATGAGCTCTGGGTATTATATTAAGACTGATGAATCACTGATCTCTACCTCTGAAACCAGTAAAACATTATATGTTAACTGAATTTAAATAAAAAAATAAAAATAAATAACCCAATTAAAAAATGAATAAAGGGCTTGAAAGAAATTTGTCCAAAATGATATACAAATACTTCTGAAACCAATAATATATTATATGCTAATTAATTTAAATAAAAAATATGTGTGTATATGTATATATATACACATACACACACATATATATACACACACACATATATATATATATATCGCCTAATACTTTTTAATTCCAAATGGGGAGATAGAACTTTACAGTGGAGACACCTGGCAAACACCACCTTAACCAAGAGATCAGAGTTAATACCACAACGTCAACATGTGCCTCCTGCTAGGATGTGCTAAGAAGGGCTCAGCTTCCTTCTGCGGTATTCCTGTGCATTCATTCTAACAACCTGAATCTAACTATGCAAAACACAGACCCAAACTGAAAAATATTCTGTAACTGTGCCGTCCAACAGAACTTTCTGCAATGCTGGAAGTGTTCTCTATATCTGCCCTGCCCAATAGGGCAGCCACAGCCACATGGAACCACCGAAAGCATGATGAAGCACATACTGTTTTAAATGTTTAAGACTTCGAATCATGAGGTGCCTGGGTGGCTCAGTCAGTTAAGCATCTGACTTCGGCTCAGGTCATGATCTCAGGGTCCTGGGATAGAGCCCAGCATCAGGCTCCCCGCTTAGTGGGAGTCTGCTTGTCCCTCTCCCTCTGCCCCTCCCCCCACTCATGCTCTCTCTCTAATAAATTCTTAAAAAAAAAAAAAGACTTAGAATCAAGATGAAAGGTATATGGTGGGGCACCTGGCTGGCTCAGTGGGTTAAGCGTCTGCCTTTGGCTCAGGTCATGAGCCCAGGGTCCTGGGATCGAGCCCCACGTTGGGCTCCCTGCTCAGAGGGTAGTGTGTTTTTCCCTCTCCCTCTGCTGCTCCCCCCAGCTTGTGCTCCATCTCTCTCTCTCTGCTCTCTCAAATAAATAAAATCGTAAAAACAAAAAAAAGAAAGGTATATGGAAAGTTTTTATACAATTTTTGCAACTATCTATAATTCTGGCATTAGGTCAAAATAGACATACAAGGAGCACCTTGGATGGCTAAGTAAGTTAAGCGTCTGACTTCTCAGGTCATGATCTCAGGGTCCTGGGATGGAGACCTGTGTGGGACTCCTCGCTCAGCAGGGAGTCTGCTTAGTCCCTCTGCCCCTCACTCTGCTTATAATCGCTCTCTCTCAAATAAAATCTTTAAAAAAAAAAAGTAAAACATACAAAAAGTCTTAAAAATCAGGATCTCATCATGTATTCACACACAAAAATTATACTGTTAATATACATGAATAAGAACAGTAGTAACTAAAATCTTGTGAAGTTCTAATCAAATATGACATACTGAACAGAGTATTCATATCCACTCTCTCCCGAAACTTAGTACTGACAATAAGGAAATAAAAAAACATAGGGCTTGTTGATATGATGTGCTGAAAATGGTACTTTACCTCTGTGGTTTTCCTCCCAATATCCCATAACTACAGTCTAAGCATGAGAAAAACATCAGACAAATCCCAAGGACATCCAACAAAATCCCTGATTAGTCCTCCTCAAAACTGTCCAGGTCATCAAAACAAGGAAAGTCTGAGAAACTGTCATAGCCAAAAGGAGCCTAAGGAGACATGATACTTAAATGTAATACAGGATCCTGGAACAGAAAAAGAACATTAGGTAAAAACAAAGGAAATCTAAATAAGCTATAGAATTTACTTAATAGTTTACTTAATAATTATGTATCAATATTGGCTCATTAATTGTTACAAACATACCATACTAATATAAGACATTAACAACAGGTGAACCTGTAGAGGGTATGTGGGAACACTGCACTTTGTTCTCAATTTTTCTATAAATCCAAAACTGCTCTAAAAAATAAAGCGCTTTTTTAAAAGTGTGACTGCAAACTATAAATGCTTTCAGATATAGAAGGCTTCAGAATTCATCTCCCATGTATTATTTTTCATACATTCTCCCATGTATTTCTAGAGATATACTCTAGCAAAACAGAGAATTAAACCAAGAAAGAAGACACAGGATGCACACAAGAGATCCATGGGGCGCCTGGGTGGCTCAGTTGGCTGAGCGTCCAACTCATGATTTTGACTCAGGTTATGATCTCAGGGTCTTGGGATCAAGCCCCTCAACGGGCTCTGCACTCAGAGCAGAGTCTGCTGGTCCCTCTCCCTCTGCTCCTCCCCCCACTCTCTCCCTCTCTAAAATAAATAAATAAAAATCTAAAAAAAAAAAAAAAAGAGAGAGATCTAATACAGGATCAAGCAAAGACCGTCCCCAGGATAATGGTGAAGTCAAGTCCTAGGCATCTGTGTATCTGAACTCAAGAGCAACCAGTTCACAATGAAGCAAAAGTATCTGGAGGTGGGATAAGTGCTAAACAGAGGATACTAAGCAGTTAAAAAAAAAAAGGCAATTACCAATTCCAGGAAACATCTAAGTTGTTAGAGAAAGGAAATGTAATCACTGTACACTGCAGCTTAGCTCTGAACAATATTTACACAGACAATAAGAAATACTGAATAATGATTTAACTGGAAATGATAATCCATCTTGTTTTAAATCTAAGACATCACTGAATAGAAATCATACCATTACTTTATTTACTATTACTTACTACTAAAAGGGGAAAGAAATGCTGCCAATTAAATAACACCATGGCGTAAAGATGTATACCAATTTCTCAGAGTTGTTAAAATGTAAAAGAACAGCTTCTTAAAATCAATTTAATATATTAATCACATTGAAAGGAGAAAAGTATTTGCATTGGGAGCAAATGGTGTAAAAAAGCTAAACTGTGACCTTCCTTGCACAGAAGGAAGTCAATATATAATGTCTAAAATTGATGGGGGAAAAAAGAAAGAACAATATCAGTTTGTTACATAGAAACATGGAGAAAAATGCTAGAAGAAACCGCTAAAAGAGCTGACAGTAAGGGCTTCTAAGGTAGGGGACACCAAGGTAGCAGGGAGGTGGAAAAGACTGCCATTTTTCATTTGAGATTTGCCTATTTAAACCATTTACATGTATTACCTTCATAAAAATAAATGTAAAAAATCAAAGCAACAACAATAAAATCAAAGCAACAATAATCTAGAGCTATCAGGAAGAAAATTCAACAGCCGAAATACTTGCAGATTTTTTTATGTACCATGACAGAGGATATCAAGAAAAACCTGAGAAAAAAGATATACAACCCCAAACTCAATGCAGTCTCAATGTTATACAAATCCAATTTTTTTTTTTTTAAAGATTTTATTTATTTGACAGAGAGACACAGTGAGAGAGGTAACACAAGTAGGGGGAGTGGGAGAGGGAGAAACAGGCTTCCCACGGAGCAGGGAGCCCGATGTGGGACTCGATCCTAGGACCCTGGGATCATGACCTGAGCCGAAGGCAGACGCTTAACGACTGAGCCACCCAGGCGCCCCTACAAATCCAAATTTTAAGTGACATTATAGCAAAGTGAAAATATTCAATCAAACCTATTCTAAATCTTGTTCATTTTACCCATCCAGTCACACAGATGTTGATTTAAGATAGCTCAAAAGTTGACCTGCTAGACGCAAAAAGGCGTGGGAGTGACACCACAGCTTCAAGTTGACTTCCTGCTTCATTAGATAAGACCCAACTGACTCAATTAGGAGGGTATATTATTTCCAGCTACAGCAAAGTTACATAACACAAAAATAAACTTAGAAAAAGTCATAATTGCCTGTAAGAGTATAACATGTAAAATTACTTTTAGCCTACCCTGCCATTAAGTTTCCATTATTTGTCACTTACATCTTGAAACATTTTGTTTTCTTGTTTCAGTCTCGCTTCTTTATCATCTGAGAGTTTGTAAGCATTCTCAAATGCTTCTTCTAAATCCTGCAGTCGAGATTTCAGTCGAATGATGGTATTGTCTTTTTCTTTATTACTTATTCTCATTTCCTCAATCCGTTCCTGCAAAATTTTGGAAGCACTGCTGGCTGCATTGAAGCGTTCTCTGAAATCACTCTACAAAATAAAAACAAAGATAATAAGTTGTTTTTAATTAAAAAAAATAGATGTTTCAATAGCACTTAACAAATTGTGGGCATTAGGGTGCCTGGGTGGCTCAGT